GATTTTTAAATGTATTTTTTAATTTGATTTGTTAATATTTTCTTGAATATTTTTACATCTATGTTCATCAGGGATACTAGTCTGTAATTTTTTTTGTGTGTGGTGTCTTTAGTTTTGGTATGAAAATGATGCTGGCCTCATATAATGAGTTTGGAAGTATTCCCACCTCTTCCACTTTTTGGAAAACCTTAAGGAGGATGGGTATTAGGTCTTCTCTAAATGTTTGATAAAATTCAGTGGTGAAGCCATCTGGTCCAGGAGTTTTGTTCTTAGGTAGTTTTTTTTATTACTAATTCAATTTCTTTGCTGGTAATTGGTCTGTTCAGATTTTCTCCTTCTTTCTGGGTCAGCCTTGGAAGGTTGTATTTTTCTAGAAAATTGTCCATTTCTTTTAGGTTATCCATTTGTTAGCATACAATTTTTCACAGTATTCTCTAATAGTTCTTTGTATTCTGTGGTGTCTGTAGTGATTTTTCCTTTCTCATTTCTAATTCTGTTTATGTATGTAGACTCTCTTTTTTTCTTGATAGGTCTGGGTAGGAGTTTATTTTGTTTATTTTCTGAAGAAACAGCTCCTGCTTTCATTGATTCTTTCTATTGGTTTATTCTTCTTGATTTTATTTATTTCTGCTCTAATCTTTATAATGTTTCTCCTTCTACTGATTTTGGGCCTCATTTGTTCTTCTTTTTCTAGTTTCATTAACTGTGAGTTTAGAGTGTTCATTTGAGATTGTTGTTCTTTCCTGAGGTAGGCCTGTATTGCAATATACTTTCCTCTTAGATGGCCTTCCCTGCATCCCACAGATTTTGCAGTGTTGAGTTACTATTGTCATTTGTTTCCATATATATAGCTTGATGTCTGTTTTTATTTGTTTAATGATCCTTTGGTTATTTAGGAGCATGTTGTTAAGCCTCCATGTGTTGTGGACTTTTTTGTTTTCTTTGCATAATTTATTTCTATTTTCATACCTTTGTGGTCTGAGAAGCTGGTTGGTACAATTTCAATCCTTCTAAATTTATTGAGGCTCTTTTTGTGGCCTAGTATATGATCTATTCTTGAAAATGTTCCATGTGCACTTGAGAAGAATGTGTATCCTGCTGCTTTTGGGTGGAGTGTTCATCTGTTAGGTTCAGCTGTTCTAATGTGTTGTTCAGTGCCTCTGTGTCCTTTCTTATTTTCTGTCTGGTTGATCTGTCCTTTGGAGTGAGTGGTGTGTTGAAGTCTCCTAGAATGAATGTATTGCATTGTAGTTTCCCCTTTAATTCTGTTAGTATTTGTTTCATATATGTTGGTGCTTCTGTGTTGGGTGCACTGATATTTATAATAGTTATATCCTCTTGTTGGACTGTCCCCTTTATCATTATGTAATGTCCTTGTCTCTTATTACTTTCTTTGTTTTGAAGTCTATTTTGTCTGATACAAGTACTGAAACTCCTGCTTTTTTCTTCCTGTTATTTGTATGAAATATCTTTTCCTATCCCTTCACTTTTTGTCTGTGTCTGTCTTTGTGTTTCAAGTGAGTCTCTTGTAGGCAGCATACAGATGGGTCTTTTTTTTTTTTTATCCATTCTGTAACTCTATGTGTTTTGATTGGTACATTCAGTCCATTTATATTTAGGATGATCGTCAATAGATATGTACTCATTTCCATTTCAGGCTTTAGATTCGTGGTTACCAAAGGTTTAAGGTTAGCCTCTTTACTATCTAACAATCTAACTTAACTCCCCTTTTATGCTAATTCAAAGACAATCTAAAGGTTCTTTTTTTCTTTCTTGTCCTCTTCTTCCTCCTTCACTGTTTTTATATTAGGTGTCATATTCTGTTCTTTCTGTATCCCTTAACTGACTTTGGGGGTAGTTGATTTAATTTTGCATTTGCTTAGTAATTAATTTGTCTACTTCCTTTACTGTGGTTTTATTTTCTCTGGTGACAGCTATTTAGCTTTAGGAGCATTTCCATCTATAGCAGCCCCTCCAAATTCACTGTGGAGATGGTTTGTGGGAAGTAAATTCCCTCAGCTTTTGCTTATCTGGAAATTGTTTAATCCCTCCTTCAAATTTAAATGATGATCTTGCCAGATAACAGTATACTTGGTTTGAGGCCCTTCTGTTTTATTGCATTAAATACATCATGCCACTCCCTTCCAGCCTGTGAGGTTTCTGCTGAGAAGTTTGGTGATAGCCTGATGGGTTTTCCTTTGTATGTGATCTTTTTTCTCTCTCTGGCTGCTATTAATACTCTCTCCTTGTTCTTGATCTTTGCCATTTAAATTATTATATGTCTTAGTATTTTCTTACTAGGGTACCTTGTGTTGGGAGATATGTCTTTGTTTTCCTGTTCTCTATTTCTTTTTCATTTACTGTCTCCTCTACCTCATCTAAACTGCTTTTAAATCCCTCTGTTCTGTGTTCCATTTCAGATACTGTATTTTTCAGTTTCTATCTCTTTAAGTCCTCCCTGAGATCTTGAATATTTTTCTGTAGCTCCAGGAGCATGTTTATGATTTTTATTTTGAAATCCTTAAGAAGATTGGTGATTTCAGTTTCACTGAGCCCTCTTTTGGGTGTTTGAGGGTTTCTGGTTTGTACAAAGTTCTTCTGCTGTTTCGTATTTCTAATGATTACTATGGACTAATATCTTCATGTAGGAAGTCTCCTCTAGTGCCCAGAAGCTCTTCTATTGGGAACTGCTCAGCACCTGGAGTGATGGCAGGGGTCACAGGCACACAGCACTGGCACCTGTCAGGAGGAAAAAGTTCTTTCCTGTTTCCCTGCTGCAGTGCCTGCCTCCATGGCCAGATCCAGGGGGCTGAGTGTGCAGGGTGGAATGGCCTATGTATTTCAAATCTTGGATGCTCAGTGTGTATCACAGTGTTGACTGGATAAATGTACAGTTGTCTGTTAAACAATATGCATTTGCATTGCACAGGTCTACTTTTTTCAAAATTTTTTCAGTAAATACTGCCTAGTACTGCAAATGCATTTTCTCTTCCTTATGATTTTCTTAATAACATTTTCTTTCTCTAGCTTACTTTAAGAATACAGTATATAAAACATGTAACATACAAAATATGTTAGTGGACTATATTTTTGGTAAAGTTTCCTGTCATCGGTAGGCTAGTAGTTAAGTTTTTGAGGAGTCAAAAGTTCAGTGTGGACTTTCAACTGCACAGAGGGTATGGTTAGCCCCTCCGTTGTTCAAGGGTCAACTGTATGTTTTTGAATAGATGCCAAAGAATATAATACCCATTGCCTCCAATTCTCCAGTCTTTATTCTTTATTCACTGTAATTCTGTCACGTCTTCTCAGGAAGCTTATTATGACTCTCTCAGGGGCCTGTATGGCACCATTCCACACCCCATTTTTTGTAATTTAAATTTCCTTCACCCTCGAAAGCCTTTAATGGGTTGTCAACTGTACAGCACCAATAGAAATTAAGAAAAATAGTTAAAAGGACCCTTTATAAAATGTAATGCTTGCAGTAAATGCTGGCATGCCTCTGAAGTTTTCCATCCATTGCTTTAGGACGAGGGTCTCTGCTTCAGGACTGCACTTGTCTTCAAGGGGAAAGAATTGAAGCTGGCCATGGAGAGCCAATGATGCCTCTTTCTGGTTGACTAAGCAGCCCAGTGGCCGGTGTATGCTGGGAACTGCAGCAGCCAGAGTTGGGGGAAGGGACAGAGGTATTATGCTTTTGAGTCAAATGAAAGGAAACATACTTCATAATGGGATATGGGATGCATGGCTTTCTCCACCTCTCTTGGCCTGATCGTCTGCCACCAGAAAGTATCGTGTTCATTTATACAAGGATAGCAGGCCTGAGAACCCTCAGTGTGCCCTAGAAATATGTGTGAATCACCCCTAAGGTGCACATTCAAAGTAGGAAGGAAAGCGGCTGCTGTCCATTCAGTGCTGCTGTGTGAATGCTTCCTGTCTGAAAGTGGGACACAACAGCTTTATCCTGTATCAAACCCCAACTATCATGGCTGCCACAAGCTTACATTTCAGAGTTAAGGTGCAAATAACCATCAGTTCTACATGACCAGGTTTTCCTACAAGACTGTGACCTACCTGCTTTTCCCAGAGTGGGTTGAATAACTTCATGAATTCGGGAAAAGTACTAAATTTTACCTCACCCCCAACTTATGACTGTAATGTTTTCCGAGCAGTATGTATTTGCTGATTCCTGTTTTATGTTTCCTGAAAGTCCTCGACTCAGTATGGTGCCCATGGAGACTCTCCTGAGGTTGCAAAATTCAGGAACTTTTAATTTCAGTTCTCCTATCTGGCAGATGGGGTGAGGCCACGCACTTCTTGAAGAGCAGATCTCAACACTGCTCTCCAGACATCGCGCGAATTCGTTATTTACAGCCTTACTGACAGCTCTGCCAGACGGCTCCTGAGTCCATGAGTACAGTCGCCCGGCCAGCCCACTATTCAATACCTTCTTTTCTCTTCACATCAAAAACCAAGACTCCGACAATCAAAGATACTTCTCCGGTTTGACTGTATTTACTTCCTAACCACAATTCTACTAAACTTCCTGACCTGAAGGTCGTTGTATCTTGGTGTTGGCTTAATACCCTATTTCCTCTGTTTCCTTTTATTTAGCTTTTTGTTTTAAATGAGATCTATTATTTTGAGATAATTGTAGATTCACATGCCTTTGTAAGAAACAATACCTTCCCCAGCTTCCCCCAGCGGTGCCATTTTACACAGCTATGGCACAGTATGAAAACAGGGAAACTGGCGTTAATGCCTTTTACTTCCTCTCATAGTGCTGGGATTCCTGTAAATTCAGAGTTGAAGAATCACATTAACATTATCACATTTTTTAGATTTCTAATAAGATTAATGATGTAGCAAGTAAGGGTCCAAACTAAAGGAAGAGACAGGGCTTCCTGTCTCTTTAAAAAATCTTTTAAATCTTAAAAAAAATCTTTAAAAAAAAGACTTACTAAGGCCTCAGGCTCTGTGATCTGTAACACAAAGAAAATCAGTTTACAGTGCATAATGATATGTCTTTATTTCATCAACAGAAATGGTGTCTAGACAAAATTCAGTTAACACTAGCAATTCAACTGAGGGAAAATTCTTTTGCACAATAGTGTATTTACAATGAGTAAATGAAGTTTTAATTCATTAGTTCAATGCTTTTTTCCCCAAAAAGGTAAAAATTCTTAGTTACAGAGAATAAGCATCAACAGCCATTTCATTTTTACAATAAAAAACCACAACAAAAACCACAATCACTTAGAAAGAAAAGGACAGGCCTAAGAACTAGTACAATAAAATGATGCATTGAATTAAGTTACATTAATCGCATAGAATCTGTGTAAAAAGTATGTAGAAAAACACCTGATGTAACCTGTTACAGTCGTTGACCAGTTATGAGAGGTACAGAGGGTTATACAGGTAGATATGTGTGAAAACTGTCCGTATTGTTCGACCTGGGGAGGAAGAGAAGAGGAGCTGCAGCCCCTTGCATACACTGAGAAGACCCTGTTTTGAATATGGCCTCTGGAGTTTGTAAGGCATATATTAGAGGTGCACTTGCCCCAGACTGCTTCTGGAACAAATTCTCACAGGCCCTTTGGGCCTCACAGGCCAAGGTGGTGCTTGCCTCGAAAGGCTCACCGTCTGACCAGCACCGAAGCTCCCAAATGCATTCGCGATCTTCCTCACTCACTACAAGTGGCGGGTCTTTTACATCAGAGTGTGAATGGGCATCCCGGCATGCACATGTGCAAAATGCACCGTTAGGACTCAAGTGGAGGTCGCCACTCTGCCTCCAGACACGTTTTGGTAGAGGACTTAGCATCAACCTGTAGGACTCTTTGTCCAAGTCCTTTCACTCTTTTTCCTTATATACATGTCCAATCATCCCCACGGGAGCGTTTGGCACTGAATTTGAGTCTACCTGAAATGAGTGGTCTCGGTGCACTTCTGCTTCTAAGGAGGGCCACTGTTTTTATCTGAGGTCAATAAACTGGAATGAAAATGAAAGTCAGAGTCGTTCATCCATTGCTTGATAATGAAATGCACATACCACGTCACACCGTTAAATCAAAGCTACGGAAGTGGGCCTCTGCAACCAAGTAGGTATGCTTCACAAACGGTAGCATCATTTTCAAATTACAATTAAAATGCAGATATTCATTTGATATAAATATTATCTCCCAGGGTGGAGTGTAGGAAAATACTATACACTTAACTTTTCTTTGCAAGAAATGTTTTTTGCACCGTCGGTTGAATAATTTATCCTCCATCTGCCACAGTAGGTCTTTTCTATGTACAAATACTATTTGCACACACTATTTGTATACAAACATATTCTATTCTACAGCATCAATCTCTGATGCTTGGGTCGTGAGATGGCTCAGGCAGTATTAGAAACATACAGCTTGAACACACAAATGCCTCCATGCACACGCACTTCTGCAAGAATTCTGACTCCACACAGTGTATTACACTGAGCACTGAGTCGCCAGAACCTGAACCTACAACAAAATCCTCAGTTTGGGGAAGAAACACGATACAGTGAACAGCTTTATTCTTAAAAAAAAAAAATTATGTTCCTTAGTCTATTTACAGTGATTTGAGGACAGAGCTTGATTCTCACTCCTTCTAGATCTGCGACTCCTCCCAAACTGTAAGCAATAGTGGAGCCCTTTGAGGCCATTTATTAGGCAGCTCCTAGATTAAACAGAGTATGAAGTATAGAACTAGATAGCCACACAGGGATTTGAAAAAGCTTTGCAGGCTTTTACCGATTTTGAGAGAAGGATGCTACTCCACACTCTGTAGAGCAGCTCGTAGGGGCTGGACTTGGTGGTTTCTTAAAAGATTTGTACTTTCCACACATTTGTTCATTTCTTCTTTTTTTAACAGCAATCAGAAAGTATTAAAAGAGAAAGTATAGGTTTAGCCCTCTTGACGACAGCATTGAACTTCACCTTGTGCCCACTGACTGAGCAGTTGTCTTGTGCAAGTTCTGTCGCTGGTCCCTGCCCTCCTTTTGAAGGACAAGGGGCAGCTGGCATACTAGTCACTAGCTTTTTTTTACTTCCTTGGGAAAGCAATACAAGGATTAAATCCAAAACCATAGTGCATCTTAAGAGCAGCATACTTTCAGAAAAAGTTAATAAATTACTTGTACGATACATGAAGTAACATTTATACTGCAGCGTCACCTCTGGGGCCCGAGTCACTGGGAGGGAACCCACAAGAGGAGTGGCAGGACAGCCTCATAATTTCTCCAGCTCTTTCATTTTGCTTTGTTTTTGCAACTGTTTTGTTCCAGAATCAGTACGTCATGAAGCTCCATTTTATACAAGGCACCCCCCAGATAACGCAGAGAAACAAACATGTACACAGCCCAGCACTCACCTGCCTCGAGCTTGACCAACCTGAATGAAGTGAGGCTGCCTGGCGACACACGCAGGACGAAGGCAGCACCAAGGGGAGGACTAGACTCAGGCGGGTCTGCACCAGCCACCAGGCCCGTTCCACTGTCCCCGCCCTGGCAGGCCATTGCGCCCGCAGCCACTCTGAGACCCAACTCGCTGTCTCAGGCACCCCCCTAAACGGTCCACAGCTACAGGGCCCTGCAATTTTGGGAGCAAGGGCCCTTAAAAAGAAAGTTAAATATCACCATGCTGTGCAAACACTATTCCTTGCACGAACTTGCTTCTCTTTTTCATAGAAATCACAGGCTTCGCTTCCCTAAGGGATCCTAGGAGGCTGGTTTTTAAAACTCCGCTTGAGGCAACGTGGATTCTGGTCCCTGGCTAGTCCTCCCTTGGAATCACCCCAGAAATGATTTTGACAAACACGTGGTTCAGAGGGTAAAAGATGAGATGGGGCATATAAACAGCCGCACAGAGCCAGCTGCTGTTCACGGTGGGATAGTGAACAAAATCATAACAGCTTGTTAAAAATCTCTAAGAAATCCAAAGATGGTTTCTTGAGCAGTTTTTTTAACCAGTTCCCACAGCAAGCGCTTGGCTGGGTAAGAGAAAGAAAAAAAAAAAGCGAGGCGGCAGGGGTTGGTAGGAGGAGGTGAGCTGAGTTAGGGTGGAGAGAAATAGAGAGACCCCCACCCCCCATCCATAGAAGGCTGGTGGTACCCAGGTGTGTGCCGGCCCAACAGCTGATGGCGGGGAAACTGGCGGGACGTGGTCAAGACTGCAAATTGCATGTGAGTTGTTACTGGGTAACATGCCAACGAGCTGGTTTGGACCTGGTTATGATACGAGCAGAAAACATTTCTTTTTGAACAGAGGAGGTGGTCACTTAGAAAAGGCAACAAAGAGCGTTAAAAAAAATACTGCTGGCGGCCTCCTCCACTGTAACGCATACCTGTGATGTAGCGCACGATTCACATTGAGTTTAAATTCGAGCTGTCACCAGTTCTCCACAAAGGCAAACCTCATGGTGAAGCACAGAACTGTTCTACTGGGCCAAGAAATTCCAACAACTGTATTGAAAAGAGTAGCTCCAGCATAAAGCTTTATCAAAATCTATCTCATACAAGCACACACACACACACACACACACACACACACACACACACACACACACAGAAAACAAAAACCCAGAGGCAGGTTTTAAAAGTGGAACTACTTTAAAAGAATCGCCTTTTCTTTTTTCTACTGCTTGAACCAACACATTCCTGGCATTCAGACATATTTCCACACTTAGCACTAATATTTGTACAGAAAAAAGTTAGTAATATTAAAACATGTTACTATGATTTCACTTTTTGCCTACATCATATACTAATTTCTCCTTTCACATGCAGCTTTAATATTGTCCAAACAATGGCACAAATAAAGAAACAAAGTCAACCATCTAGTCCCCTGGGCCCACGGGCCCATCCCTCCACCCCGTCCCCCCATCAAACCTTCTGGACTCTTCCCTCAGCCAGGCGGGAGGCCCCCTGGAGGAAGGGAGTGGATTCCTCCTCCTCGGGGCTGGCTGTGCGGTCTCGGGCACATCTTCCTGTAAATGTGGCCGGGGTGGGGTGGGGGTGGGGGGCAGCACAACCCCAGGGCCAAGGGAAGCTGCTCTCTGTGGGTTGCAAGCCAGCCGGTTTTGCAGCAAGAAAATTATCATCAGGTTAGGGTAGGTGTGTGTGTGGTGGGTGTGTAGGGCAAGGGGGCTCCTGGACGTGTAACGTCCAAAGCCTCTGGAATGAAATCTGCCTTTAGACGAAAGACTGGTGGAAAAACCTCAGAATTCAACTCAAAGCATTTGGGGAGAGATGGAAGAAAGAAGTGCTTTTGCCTGCACCACTGACGGAGCTCAGGCTCACCTCTGCCCTGCGCTCTCCTACTTTGGGCAAGCTGCACTAACCCTGGACGGCCACTCACAGGCAGGACCCCCAGGGCTGTGACTCAGATCCCTGCAGGTGAGATGTCCTGGGAAGCCAGTCCTGGGCGGGCAAGCAGGGTGGCTGATCACTCAAGTCATTCAAAGGAGCAGGTCCTACCTTTCTACACTTCCGAGAGTGAGCAGACGCCTATGAGGTGTTGAAATGAATGGGACTTACTCCCAGGGTTAAAAAAAGTTCCAACTTGATTTCTAGGAGCCAATGCCTGCTGAACTCTGGTATAAAAATCATAGATTCCTGCTGCTTTTGATGCACTTTAGAGTAAGATGTCCAAACTCTCTCCGCACGCAGGAATTTGAACATCCAGCATCAACTGTGAACTCGATCTGCATTTAAAGTTTGCTGAGGGAAAGGTGGGGAGGAGAGGAAATATAAAAATATCCAAGCAGATTATTGTCTACACATCCTAGGATGAATTCCTTATTTGGCAAGATTGTTTTTCCTACATGATTATCACCTGAGTGCTTTTTAATTAGCTAAAATGTCTTACTTTTTAACTAAGAGCAAAGAATATACAGTATACTTGAGTTATACTGAAGTTACAACTTCATTTAAGAAAATAGGGTTGACCCAAAACTCAGTGCAAGTGGCAAAATGGACAGTGACTGTACAGAATCTGCTAGAAACAACCGGCTCACAGTACTCGAGTGACACCATGTGGTGGCGCCCAAACCGAATTGAAAAAAAAAAAGTCTGAAAGAAAGCTTCCAACACCGAATTTTGTCCATAAATAAGTACAAATCAATGAACTGCAAAGCAAGAAAAACGACCGTGTTTATAGTTACCAAACGCGTTCTAGCATCAGAGGCAAAAGAAGAGGAATGTTGGAACCTGTTGATAAGTGAGAAATGAAGTTTCCAGTTTTAGGATGAGCAACTTGAGGCATGCAGGACTTTTGCATACGGATATATATATATATGTATTTTATATATATATTATATATAATATGTACAGTCTAGCTATAAAACTTTGATGTGTTATAGAAGCTGTCTTCAATGAAAAAAATTGAACATTCAGAAGAAATTCCTGAGATAGGGTTTGTGACATGGGCCACTGAGAAAAAAAATCCGTGGTTGGGTCCTAGAGGTGTGACAGTCTATCCCTGTTACGACTGAAATGAACCCACAGACAGACAGTGTCCGCCACTGCTGTCTTTCCTTGCCTAAGCAAGGGGTAGCACCAATGTGAAGGTAACTATGTATCACTCCTTCTGGCACAGAGGAGGGAACGCTTAGAAACAGTATTGCTGCTAAGAAAGCTGTAGTGTGCACCAAATTCCTTCTCGGTTCTTCCAGACAACAGAGGAACAGCGCCACAGGCTGACCGACGAACAGCCGGGTAGGAGAGGTGTCAGAACTGGGAGGCAGGCCAGGCCACTAGGTATAATCTTTCCGGGGCTGTTCGTCCGTTGTACACTTATCAGTCATTTCCTGGCAGAAGTCTACGGTCACCGTTTGGCTCCTGGGTTCAAGAGGAGGGCCTCTCTCTGAGAAGGTTCCCAGGTCAGGGCCTTCCAGCCTCCTCGCAGAGGTGCAGTTCTCTGAGGTGCTGCTGGGCGCCCAGGGCAGCCCTGGGGGAGCCGTGCCCTGCTCCAAGCAGCAGGGCATGTTCTCCCCCACTGCGCACTGGGAAGTGGCGAGGTTTTGCTCGACGCCCAGGGGCGCAGGGGTAATACTGGAGGCTGTGGGGAGCCCCGCGGGTCTGAGGACAGGGCAGTACCGATGCAGGGCCTGGATCTGCTCGGGGCTCTGGATGTCTCGGCAGACCTCCTGCGAAAGGCAGGAGAAGTTGTCCAACAGTTCTCCCATGCACGCTTTCAGCTGATTCCGCTCTGACAACAGCTTCTCTTTCTCACACACCTGGACAACAGAGGAAGAAGAGAAGGTGTGAGCAACCTGCCGTGGAGGCCCTAGGCCTTGTGGCTGGGAGTTCTCCAACTTCCCTTTTTGTATCCTATATTACTGCAGGATGAATGACCACATCAGGATCTAGAAACCTGAAAAAACATGTATTCAGGGTGCCTGGACACACTTCTGCCAAGTCTCCCACCTGAGCAGCCCTCCTGACGTGCCACTGACCTTGACAACTCCTCTGAGGCGGCTCTGAGGCCAGGCCAGGTGACCCCCAAAATGACCACCAACCAGAAAACTGCAGGGACCCATGAGTCCAGTCTTCTGGAATCTGGGGTTTGCAGATCATCTACTGGAAAACTCTCAGTCTCCAACCCTGTTGTTGAACATGTCTCCCAAAAGGAAGAGGGTGCCATTTCTGAAGGTCAGAAATAATCGACCAGTTCCAACTATATGACATTCTGGAAAAAGGCAAACCTATGGGGAGAGGAAAACAGTTGGTGGTTGTGAGGGCTGATGGGGGCAGGGAAGAGAGGGATGGCACGGGGAAGCACAGAGGACTCTCGGGCCATGAAACTACTCTGTGATCACGGCAGTTGTCCAAACCCACAGAATGTACAACACCAAGAATGAGCCCTAATAGAAATTATGAACTCCGGGTAATGCATCTATGTAGGTTCATCAGCTGTAACAAATGCACCCCCCTGTGGGGGTTGCTGACAGTGGGGCAGACCGTGAGTGTGTAAGGGTTGGTTCCATATGGGAACTCCGTATTTTCCATTCCATGGTGCTGTGAACCTAAAACTTCTCTAAAAAGGAAAGATTATTATAAGAAATGAAAATCACAAAAAAATTGACCATTGGTGGTTTCATATGGTTCAATCTGACACCAGCAGGCTCCCCGGCCTTTGCGGCAGACAGACTGAACACAGCCGGTCCTCTTGAGGACAGCTGGGTACAGGGCAGGGAGTCCCAGGGATAGGTTCTCCATGCATACAGGCAGGGCAGAGGCGGGGGCTGAGCCCTAGCATACTCGTGCAAGGTGCAGGCTGTTTTTCTTAAAGAAAATCCCCCATAAGCTCTTGTGTTGCTAAAATTCATCAACTTGTCAGAGAGATTAATTTAGTCAACAGAGGGGAGGCTGATTAAGGTTTAACCATAACCATGTGTGTGAGGAGACAGCAGGCAGCTCCCTAGGACGCACACAAGGACATGGATGGAGAAAGCGGATGTCCACTGTGTATCAACAATCCCTCAACAATACATGATCATGGATGAAGAACCCGGAGAACAGAGGCCGCCTGAAACGTGCCCTCACCAACCCTTCCCAAAGGTGGGCAGGAAGGGTGGGAGGAGGAGGCGAGAGAAGAGCAAATAGCCGGCACGGGGGTCTCGTGCATGGGAGCCGTGCATGCCGGAACAGGAACACAGTCTGGCAGGCAGCGTGGCCATTTGTGTCGGAGAGAGAGATTTACACGGGGAAAGGGCACCTGCTAAAATATTTATAAATCTATCAAGAAAACATGTTTTAAAAATGAAACATAAACAGATGTACAAGTGCAACTTGAGAAAAATACATTATGCAAGTCTGCAAAAGCTGAGTGGCACGCCGGAGACCGCGTGGGAGTGGGGAGCGGGTGTGTGCGTGCTGGGGACCAGCCTGTCCCCGCCTGCCTGTGCCATCTCTGCCACTGGGTGTGCATAGGAAGCCAAACATATTCGGCAGATCTCTTTGGAAAGAAAGTCTTCCACGCGTGGCTACGCAAATTGAACCTCCTTCCCAGTAACCTGGCAGTCTGCAAAGTGGGAGGCCACACTGCCCAGCCCCAGGAGGCGCATTCATCTCAATTCTGTCATACCGTCTTGGCTAAGGCACAGACCCCTCCATGCCTACTGATCTGCAGAATGTTCCGGGCAACTTTCTAGGGGGAAGAAAATCACACGCTGTGTGTGGCAGTGTTCTGGGTCTCTGCAGGAGAGGCACTATAAATCAAGGCCTTCCTTACAAGCACGGAGCTCTACGTCACACTGACGAGCACAGGGCACCCCCATTCAGCAGTGCTATGCAGCATTATCCAACAGGTTTTCAAAGAGGTGGAGGGAGAAGTAGGAGGTGCCCTCCCTCCTGGCTCTTCAACTGAACAATATTAGCAAAGTGCTTTCCATTTCTTCCTGGTGTGTGGCTTGGACTTTACTATTTGTTCAGGATTCCACTATTACAAGGAGAAGAATGCTAATTACAAAAATCAGGCATTTCTCAAATCTGGGTAATCAGAGTTATCCGACTGCCTGAGGAGTAACACAGGGCCAGAATTACCAGGGACGCTGCCTAAGGTCCTGATGACCCACTGCCGGGGCTGCCTGGCTCGGCTCCCTACAGAAGCCCTGCAGGCTTTCAGAAGACACACACTCCCCAGGGGCAACGACGTGCTTCTCTGTGGGGCTCAAATGAGAACGTGGTGTTGTTAAAAAAAACAGTAAAGAAAAATTTGAAAAAGAAAGAATTCATAATTTCATAACCCAGTCACAATTTCAATAGACTTCAGGTAACAGACATTTCCCGAGAGGCTTCAGTGGGGTCTGTGCTGGGGGTGCAGAGATGAGGATCCTTGAGTTCAGGGCCGGTGGCGGGGGAAACACGCACAGGCAGGAAATGCGAGACTAATGTGACGAGCATGAAGCCGGAGGTCAGATGAGGGCTCCAGGGGCAGGTGCCCAGCCTCGCTGGGGACTCAAGAAAGGGGCTTCCTGGAGAGGAACGTGAATGGTAAGGAAAAAACACTCGAGGAATGTCTGAGGCAGAGGAGAAACAGCAGAGACACGGCACAGAGTAGTATCAATAGCAGGAGACGGCAGGGAGGTGCAGACAGCTGGATTATCGGGGGCCACGTTTTTGGAAGGGAGTGGCAGCCGCAGACTGACGACAGAGAGCACGGGGGTGTCTGCTAAGGAGCCTGGGGCTTTACTGTGCAGGTGATGAGAGCACTGAAGCTGGGAGGTTTTCCCTGCTTGGAGGGTGTTAAATAAATTATTCAAATGAAAAAGGACCCTGAGGTCTAGGGCTATGTAACAGGTAGCAGTTACTCATGCCTTTCAAACATCATCCCGAGGGCGGCTACCAGAGGTGAGGGATGCCGCGTGGTGCGAGGACCCAGATGTAAGATCAGAACTGCATCGCGCGGCCTCCCTCTTCTTCAGCCCAGCACAGGCACAGTACCCGCGATGACTTCCCAGCGGAAAGACTGTGCTCGGTGGGGCTCTACTGGTTGCCTTCCAAGCTATACTCAGCAGCCAGGGGCCACCTGGATTTACTTCTCATAGCTTAACTTTTGCTGTCAAGGCGAAGGGGGTGCAGAGCTCCAAGGCAGGAGGGGCTTGGCAGATGGCAGCTTCTTCCCAGAGATAAAATACTTCCAGGCACAGGGAGGAGGTGGCAGCCACTTAGAAGCGAAACTGCGAAACCAAAGACCCCAGGGCTCCGAAGGGCTTCAGGAGATCCTGTGGCTGAGCGAGTGTCTCACAGTGGGCAGACCTCCCACCCCTGGCCCTACACTCCTCTGCGGGAGGCAGGAGAAAGCAGCAGTAAGAACACAAGATTTGGAATCAGATACCTGGGTTTGCATTCAAGCTCTGTCCCAGAGCGGGGAGTTACCCAACCTCTCTGCTCCAGTTCCCACCTCTGTAAAAGGAGATAGAATAGCACCTAACTCATAGGTTGATGTGAGGATTAAGTGTGAACATCGACAAATATTATTTCGAACAATACTTGGTCCAGATATGCATGCAGTAAATGTTAGCTGCAAGTTGAGTGGAAAATAAAAAAGAACTACCTCATGACATATGGCTGAAGGATATACAATACTGACAGGATCACACACCTGCACAGACACATACACTGCAGACAAAAAGGTATTATTTTTGTGGAGGAACTTGTTTAAAAATTAAACCGCAAGCTCCCTGTTTGGTGACCCTCTTCTCCACTTCCCCAGCCTTCATGACTGCAGCTTTGCATCAGGCCTGGTCACTCCAGGCTGCTGACAAGCAGTGGACGGGGCAACTCACCAGTTTGCGGATTTCACATTCTAAATTCTGGATGCAGTCCAATTTCCTCTTGCGGCAGCGCTGGGCTGCAATGCGGTTCTTGCTGCGCCGTCGGACGTCATGAATGAACTCTAACTGCTCTGAGGTTAGCTTGTGCATCTTAACCATCATCTGGAAATCGTTCCTTGGAAGGTCTGTGATTTGATCTACAGGAAAGGGAAGTTTGACCTGAAACCAAGAGTAAGAGAATAGGATTATGGCAGCTGGATTTTTGCTTTAATTCTGGCAGGTGGAACATCAAAGAAAGTGGTGTAAAAACCTCTGTTTAAAGATGATCAATATGGAAACTACTGAACAAGAGCAGTGATTAATTCTTTCCTGTTTCAAATATAAATAAGATGTAGTATTCAGATAAACAGAATGTGAACACACACATGATAATGTGGTGATCATTGCTGAGAGTTTGGGAGCAAGCATCATGGGAAATATTGGGAAATGTATGCTTTTTCATTGCTACAGCACTTTTACAAGAAAGGCTCTGTGGTTGAAATCTACTTCCATTGAGGCTCAACTCAATAAAATGACAATTTACACACAGTATCATCTAAGGAATTACTAACACACTTGAGTGAAGATAGCACCGCATACCCTGAAGATGGTGGAAAGACGAAACCACCAGTATGATTCTTTGTTATAACAGCATAAGAGAGATATGGAGAGGCAAATTGGACAGGCTACCCCAGGGTGGGCCAGGAGTTAGGACTGGGCTTTAGTCCTTTCCACTAGACATGAGATGCCGGCTAGTTATTTTATTTCCCTGAGCGTCAGTTTCCTCATCTGCATGTTGTTTAGCTACGCAGTGCTACACAAGCATTAGGCACTTTGGAAGATTATATTTTGCAAAAATACAATGGCTGTCCCATCTCACACGCTCTTTTACAACATCATGATGACCTTTCGTATCAAGAGGAGGGATGACTTTCCTGCCTCCTGACCAGCACAATGCAGTGGGAGTAACGGCATGTAAATTCTGAGGCTAGGTCATAAAAGGTGCTGCAACATTCCCTTAGGCTTCTTAGATTGCTCTCTGTGGAAGACACCAGCTGCCGTGCCTCAAGGACAGGCAAGCAGCCTTTAGAGAGACCCACGTAGAGGAGAACGGAGGCCTGTGGCCACCAGCCAGCATCACCCTGTCAGCACGGAGCAGGTAAACCTTCAGATGACAGAAGCCTCGGCCAACATTTCACTTTGACCTTCTGAGATATCCTGAGTCAGAAGTACTCAGATGGGCCACTCCTGAATCCCTGACCCACCGAAATGGTGAGAGGTGTTCAAGGATCCTTGCCTTAAGACATGAGGGTTTGGGGTGATATGTTATGCAGCAATAGGTGACTGACTCAGGTACTCTTATAAGCAAGATCCTTACTTTCAAACTCTTGACAAATCAAGGCAAACAAAATGAGCATTATCCCAAGAGAGGACACCCATCTCTTGAGGGATGGATCTATGTTCTTATACTCTTATTAAATGTCTGCTTACAACCCTGTGGCAGTTTGAAATGTTTCTTAAGCAAAGAACTGCTGCTCTCTAGGGCCTCCTCAACATCCGCAAGGCAGAGAACACAGGCCTGCACCTTCCAGCATTTGTTAAGACCCACTGCCCTCTCCAGGATGCCTCCTGATGAGGCAGGACTGCAGGGCAGGTCTGGGTCTGTTTCAGAAGCTTCTGAAAAAGGAAGGTTGCAGGTTGCTTGGCCAAGAGACAAAGCGTTTCCCAGCTCAGATTGCTTCATTCTTGCTCACGTGAGCATCTGCTTCAGGACCAGCAGATGGCACTACAAGCTGAAACTTCCTGCAAGCACCAGCCCAGCGCTGTCCAGTGCAAACAGGATCCGCATGGGTGATCTTACATTTTCTAGTAGCCGCATTAAAGAAAGAAGAAGGTGAAGTTAATTTTAATAGTATATACTCAACACAATAGATCAAAAACATTTTCCGTGTGTAATTAATCGAAAAATTGAGATGTTTCACTTTTTTTTTGGTACGAGCTTTTCAAATCTGAGGCATGTTTTACGTTTACGGCAGATCACAATGCAGGATGGATAAGCACATTTCTAGGACTCGATGGCCACATGAGGCCTGTGGCAACTCTACTGGATAGCATAGCTGTAGGTGATGGACTAAGTGGACTCTCGAGTGACCCTGCGTCCCCCAAAACAGATGGATGTTTACTTGATCAAAACACTTCTGGGTGAAGAAGCCAGCTCCTTGTTAATATTCAGAAGCTGTAGTGTATGTCTGTGTTGTTCAGGGGGAGTGAGATGAAAATATTTTATCCTGAGCTCAGGCTTTTTCTTTGGTTGCATCAGATGCAGGCAGACATGAGCCCAGACCCCAGCATTTGTGGACGGTTAATCCCTATGCACAAAGGCAGTCCTACAAAACGACCCTTTGCCTTTTCTGTGGCTGCAGGCATTTGCTTTGTCAGGTGACTTCACCACTCTTGAGTCTGCTAGCTATGCTGTTTGCTGAAGGCTTCCGATGCGTGTGCTGATTCAACTTCCACACGGCGAACCCTGTCCCAGGACACCTGTAAAATTCTGACCCAAGAACGCCAGACTGCAGCGGCCCATGTGACACCACCTTCAGCTCAGCCCTGCTCTGCTTCCTAAAGAAGGGCAGACAGGGCAAGGGCTTTGTCCGTGGGGCTGTGTTTGCCCAGGGCTTATAATGATATGAAGAATGTATTTTCCCTTTTATAGCCTTTGGATAACAAACAGACATGCGGATCTGGGACGGCACCTCAGGAACACAGAGGTCTGACTGCGGGGACATGGGTGCTTCCCCCCCAGGGGGGCCTTGTTTACACAGCACGGGCCGCAGCACTCTACCCCCTCTGATCACAACAAAAACCCAGGTCTGCTCCCGTGCTCAATTGCGTTTACTTATTTTCAGGAAGAATATATATCTACAGTTCAGGCCACAGGGGAAGCTAAAGGGCCTTCCACACCAAAGCTACTGTATTTAAAACCACCCAGACAGTGAATATAAAACACTAGGAAGACAGGAAAGAGAGAAAATCAACAGTACTGGTTTCAAAGTCCTTGAAGCAAAAGACCCCATAAAATTTCAGCAGAGCTGTTGCAACTCCAGCTGCTTTTTAAAGAGGTCAAAGCAAAAGCAGCGTCAGCTGTAAGCTTTCTTCCATGTGATAAAGGCCCAAACGCCAGCACTCTTGTTTCTTTTTAAAAGGCTCCATTACCCCTCCAGCAAGGGAGAACTTAAACAGACTAACCCAGAAGCGTCCTCAGAAAGGTACAGTGGGAACCCGCCCCTGCCATTCATTAGTTTCCGAGCAGTAAGTTCGAGGCCAGTGGGCACATTCCCTGGACACAGAGGAGCCACAGACACCAGAAGGAGCCGGGAGGAGGCTCCATCTCAGGCCTCCCTCAGCACTGCCCAAAGGGGGCTCAAAGTCTGCTAATGTGACTTGGCCCTGGAAAGCTGGAGCGCACGGAGAAGGCTGAGGCCCTTCTCCCTGTCCTCCAGCGATTTCTTACAACCTCAATGGGCCCAACGGGGCTGGACATCTTGTTTATTGACCCCTCTCCACATACTCCCAGGACCTTCTTTCTCAGCCCGGGTGTGGCTTCATCCTCATAAACAGTGTGAAACACCCCACCTGACCAGATGAAAAGTCCTGCCAATTACCCCTCCACGTGTCTGAACGGCCAGCCTGCAGCTACCTTCAGATGCCCACACACATATGAGGTCAGGCATGAAGTCTAAGCAGCAGGTTGTGCAGAAGGGGACTGGCTCGTGGGATCCAGGGTACTGATCTCCCTTTAGGCACAGGGCAGCGCATAGGTGCTGCCCCCACTTTGTGTTTCCGTGGGGAGTCCCCGGGCCAGCAGCCATCACTGAGTTAGCAAGCTGAGCCCAACAGGGCGCCAGAGGCGGTGCTCCTGGACAGTCTGCTAGTGTTGACATACCCCGTTCCAGCAGCGTGCTCCCTTTCTCTTCCCTCAGAAGCACAACAGGAAGAAGATACAGAGGACGTTTTAGCTCAGTCCCTCCACTGGCCTGCCAAGCAGTGACCAGAGGAAGATGAGACCTTCTGGGGGCCCCAGCAAAATGAGTGATCCCTGCGGTGGTCCCAGAGGCTGGCAAAGGAGGGAGAAGGATCTGACATTCGGAACGTGACAATGAAACCTAAATATTCCTCCTCCAGGGCCCACCCAGGGATGCCACCGCTGGACCCCAGGGTGCCAGCACTTCCTTCTCAGCAAGCAGAAACCCACTTCATTCCCTTGTCACCAACCACCCTGGTTCTGTGGCCCAAACCACCATCTCTTTTCTCTCAGGTCTACAAAAAAGCTGTATGAGAAACATAATTTCTTACAGAAAACTCAAAAATGAGACAAAGGCGGGTCGGGGGGGAATTCCCACCCCCAAATTTACCAGAAGAAAACAAAACCACTATTTTGAAAAGACATATGCACCCCTATGTTTATCGCAGCCCTATTTATAATAGCCAAGATATGGAAGCAGCCTACGTGTCCATCAGTAGATGAATGGATAAATGAGATGTGGTACATACACAGAACAGAATATTACTTGGTCATGAAAAAAGAGTGAAATCTTGCCATTTGTGGCAACACAGATGGACCTAGAAGGTATTGTGCTCAGTGAAATAAATCAGATGGTGAAGGACAAACACTGTATGATTTCACTTACATGTGGGATCTAAAAAACAAACGAACAAACAAAAAAACAGAAGTAGACTCATAAACACAGAGAACAGACTCATGGTTGCCATCCAGGAGAGGGGTGGAGGGATGGGTGAGATGGGTGAAGGCAGTACAGAGGCACAAAATTCTAATTATAAAATAAATTAGACACTGGGATGAAAGGACAGCATAAGGAATATAGTCAATAATACTGTATCTTTGTATGTTGACAGTAACTACATTTATTGTGGTATGCGTTTAATGTATATAATTGTTGAATTACTATGTTGTACACCTAAAATCACATAATGTATGTCAACTATATTTCAGTAAGAAAGACTTCACAGTGAAAAGAAAATCCCAGCCCCCAAACGACTCTCTTGCTCCAGTGGATGTCCCTATGGCCTGTGGTTTCTCTGCATATTTTTTACAGGGTTGTTATCAGATGTTCTAAGCTCCCTCATCTCTTCACACCTCTGAACACATATGGCACTGGCCTGGTGGTGCTGGTTTGCTGGATGGGGGCTTTGCAAGAAGCAGGACAGAGATGTAAATGTTGGAGAAAAAGCCAAACACAAACATCTATTTACTCTAAAATCCCAACAGAAGCTGGCTGGTCAATCTTCTGTCCTCTCTCTTCTCTTAGTTTCACTACTAGATGTTGACTAGAAGCTGTAGGAGTTGGAGCAGCTATGAGTACCGAGGCTCTGATGCACAGTCAACCCTCCGAAGCCTGTGATGCCCATGTGCTCTTACAAGACTCTCAGATCTCCAAGCGGGGTCAGAGAAGGAAGCAAATGCCCGTCGGGCTGGTGACTCTGGTGCTGCTGGCATGGCGACAGTCAGTTCAGGGCTATGCAGACGCTGACGGCAAACGCTCCTCCTCCAGGCGAAGAATGTTCCCTGCACAACCGTCCTACCCTCTGTTCTCGTGGTCCCGCTTAGGAAGCAAACGCAGGACACCTTGGATTTAATTACGGTACCGCGATGAACTATGGGTGATCTCAGGCAAGTCTTTCATTCTCTATCCTGAAGTTCTTTGAGGATCTGAGAGTCAGAGGGAGATTCTACCTGCCCTGCTTAGCTTACAGAATTGCTATGGAGAATAAAATTGGATAATAAGCTGGAGAAAGTGCTTTGAAAAGTTTGAACTGCCTTATAGATATAGATATGAAGTATTATTATTATTATTATTATTATTTATTAGCCCTGTCTTTACTTGTCACATGGTTTCTCCTTCCAGACATACAGCATGCTTTGGAATTTCAGAAGCTAAGAATGTCTTTTTAGACAACATGGAAACATTGTTTTAATTAGAGATATGGCTGACTTCCATGCTGCCCAGGAAGGTTTTCTTTTTATTAAGCAGACCAATCACAGACATTTTACAAAGATGTCTGATTCAATGAACCACAAAAATGACTATAAACATTTTACATACAACATATGTCTGGAAGTTGGCATTTGGGTGGAAGAGTTAGAGTCAGATGTAGTTCTTCTGTTTCAGTGTTTGCTCTGGCCCGATTATTTCTTCCAACTCTCCCCGTGCCTTTCCCCCAAACACACACACACACACTCTCTCTCTCTCTCTCTTTCTCTCTCGCACGCTTCTATCCCTCTTGATAGGAAACATGTCAATGAGGCAAGTCCAACTAAACAATACTTCTGTTTGTGCCAATACGCTGTCTTTCAAGTGCTTCTTTACTAAACCTACAATTAATTAAAAATGCTTGTGATACAAAAATCATCTCACTACTTGGAAAATGCTATGACTTTTCTGTAATTTTCAAATTTAAAAATGAGCTTGCATACCAAAATAGGATACCATTTCACATCCACTAGAATGGCTATAATGAAAAAAGATGGGCAATAACAAGTGTTGGTGAGGATGCGGAGAGAACTAGATCTCACACTGCTGGTGGGAATGTAAAAGGGTGTAGGTACCTTGGGAAATAGTCTAGTAGTTCCTTAAAAGGGTAAACACACAGTTATCACATGATTCAGCAATTCTACTCCTACATAAGAGACTTGAAAACACATGTCTACAAAAAACCTGTACACAAATGCTTACAGCAGCATTACTGACAACAGTCAAATAGGGGAAACAACCCTAGTGTCCCTTAACTATGAATGTGTCAGTGTAGTGTGGTGCATTCCTGCAGAGGAATACTGCTCATCAATAAAAAAGAATGGAGCACTGATACATGATGAGCTTGGCAAAATTTAAGAGGACTGATAACAACTAGTACTGGTAAAAATGAGGGAAACGGACACTCACAAACTGCTGAAGAAGGCTGAATTGCTACGACCTTTTGGGAAAGTAGTTAGGTGGTGTTTAATAAATGAGCATATAGCCTTTCACCTAATTAAGGCAGTCTAACCCACAAAAAATAGAAAAAGCATTCCTACTAAATATGTTCACAAAAATGTTTATTGCAGTAATGTCTGTAAGAGTGGAAAAAAGCTGGAAACAACAGGAAGCTCTGTGTGATGGAAGATACCTGAATAAACTACGCTGAAGGATATTAAGGAAGTACGCATTAGCCCTGCGTGGCTCACTTAGAGGCAGGTACACAGTGGACAGCTATGTGGAAAAACCAAGTGGCTGAATAACAATACACTAAATGATATTAAAATAAAACCCAGCCCCTAGAAATGTGAATATGTGTGTGTGTATATTGTTGCTGGCACAGAGAAAACCTGTTAAGTTTGGGTGAATAAGCTGTGCTTGATTCTTTAAAAAAAGAAAGTAATTTTAAAAAGCTGATTGTTGATAAAGGACAATATTGTGCTCATTTCAGCTTTCTTCAAACCTAGGGAATAGTTAAAACGAATGAGAGAAGTTAATGTTGATGAGCTGGGTGAGCTAACCGTGTAATTAGAACGTCTCACAGAGTATCAGGTATGGAAGCTAACACATTGCTTCTGATCTACCATTCTGGCTCCTTAGAGAGGTGGGGGAGCCGCCGGTCTGAGCTCTCAGACAGGTGTCGTCTGGACATGACACAAGAGCAGATCCGGGCAGCATCAGCCAAACAGATGTTGGCTTCTTCTGGATCCACCCGGGAAAACAGGTTAGGATTCATGTTACGAAGTATTTGGCTTCAATATTATTACTGGGGACCACATGCCCACTGAAGTCACAGTAATTCCTAAAAGCAAGTTATTAACTCAACCAGGAGCAGTCGTGCTGAATCCCTGAGCCCCTTGTTGGAAAACCTAACCTCCTCTCCTCTCGGAAAATGACAATGTCAAATTGGGAAAACCTTAGCTTTACTATGACAATTCTGTCCAAAAAGTACTACCAGGAGGGACTGAATGTGATTCCTGAAATGGTGGCGCTTTGGTACATGTCTCTTCTGTCACTGTTTAGAAAGGCCAAGAACGGGTTTTAAAAAAAAAAATAAAACTAAAAATATTTTTTGAAGCAGTGATATCGAGGGAGACTGACTAGTCCTGTTCATGACTCTTTTTAGGTTGAACGAGTCCTGATTTTAACTGATTCATTTAGAACTGAAAAGTTCTCAGGTAGACAAGTAGTATGGCCCAGACCCGGGGGAAAACACGTGTGCTCTTGCTGGTGGCATTCAGTTCTCAGAAGAGACTATACGCTTTTTTGGGATATGAGAGACAAAAGGAGATTTCTCTGAAATGACCAGTTCCTTGAACATATGCAAATGTCCTGAGAACACAATCTCTTTAGCTTGCTGGTGGGGCTCCTCCTAAGGGAGAGACAGAAACAAAGACGTGGGGGCACTTGTCCTTTTCTAGCAGCACCAGTTCCTGGCAAGGTAAGTCATTACACTGGTGATCTGGACCCAGGGATTAGGCATCTGCACCAAGGAGGCTCACGAGTAATTTCAGGGAAAAAAAAGAAAACCTCACAAAAGTTGTGAACCAAGAGAAAGACTGAGTGGGGACAAAGCACACCCTTTCTGTTTTTGACAAAAGCCCCACCATCTCAGGGCAGGGACACAGTTGTGACTCTGACATGGGGCCCTGGGCACAAACCTCCCCCCCAAACCTGAGGGGATATGGTATATTCGAATAGGAATAGTTCTCATAATGATTTCCTTCAGCTAAATGAAATCCTTTGCATTTGTCTGTGTCTTTCTGCACTTCTGCCAGGCAGTAACAGAATAGCAGGGGCCAGGCTAGACAGAATGAGAAAGTGACCACAGGGCATTTCTGCAGCTGGCACAGGGAGCTTTGGGATCTATTTTCAAAATACGCCTGAACGAAAACCTCATGTGCTTGTTGCCAATGTTGCAGAGGCTGAATAAATCACATGTGCCTCTGAGCAGCCACCTCACGCCGTGTGGCATTTCTGCTGTCTGGTTGGGTTAATGTCCCTGCTTTACAAGAGGCTAATATCCAGGGAGCGCAGACGTATACTGAGGGGTTGGGTCTAATGAGGGCCATGTTTAATTTCCTCCTGTGTTCCTCAGATGAGCAGCTCTGGGGAGGGACTTCTCACTGCGCCTGCTCAGCCCCGCTCCAGAGGCAGGTCTGAGACACTGGTGGCGATGTCAGGCTGGCTCCCTGTCGGTCAGTGAGACAGTGCCCTATCATGACGCAAACTCCTTCAGACCTTTCCAGAAGCCACTCATGCTCTGGGGAGGGGGACTGCATGGGGCATCTCTACTCTTCTCTCCTTAGCCATGTGAGTCTTGCTCATGAAGTGGCCGGTGTTGCCCCTCTTCTGTCTCCCAGCACCGGTGAAGACATGGGTGGGGCCTTTGGGAATTTTCATCTATGAAGCAAAGTGCTTTCTGAGCGGACAGAAACTGCTACTCGACCCCAACACCCCTCAAAATGACTTCTCACCGCGTGTGGGGTGTTTGGGAAATGATAATTATACAGTCACAGGTGACTGACTAGGGTGTTTCTGCAGTGACTCCGGGACCAGGACAAACAGCTCTCTGTCACCTGCTCTGCAATGGGCAAGGGGTGGTTCTCAGGGTGACAAGGAAAACTGACAGGGTGCTGGGAGAGTACCTGGGCAGAGGGGGTCTACCCAGTGTCAATGAATAGATTTTGGAGGGGGTTCTGTGTTTACCTTCACACTGAAGGGGTGGGGAGCACGCAGACCGAGGAGGAAGAGACAGGGAGCGCGAGGGCGTGGGCTGGAAGGATGCTCTCCGGCATTCAACTTACTTTTCTCACTGAGCCGCTTGCCTCTGCTCTCTGAGTACTGAGATCTAGATCAAATTTAAAGTGACTTCTAGCACAGAAGTGGTTAATTTGGAACCACCTTGAAGCACCCTGCCTCTGTGGGTGGAGGAGGCAGTCCCTTCACTGTAACCTGTAGTCCTGGCAAGTAAGAGCACTCTGGGAGCGGTGGGGGGGTAGGGAGAGGCCGCATAAGGGACTGAGGGGATGGGGCGCATGCTTGAATTTAGGCGGGTTCCCTACCTCCTGGCCCCTGTCCTGCACAGGACACGACTCACTGTCTGCTTCCGAGAACGACCCGGATTCGTCACTGGAGTTGGTTCCGTAAGACTGCTCACATTTAATCTGGGGCCGGACTGGGTTGTACATCCCGTCTGCCATCAGGCCTGCCTCCTGATGATCTGCGGCAAGGAATCTGGCTCCCTGGGAGCAGGGCGAGGAGGAGAACTCACAGAGCGGGAGGCTGCAGGGTGAGCCCCCGCTCCCGTCCTCGGCGTAGGAATAGGAGGAGCACGAGCTCGATGTCCTGGTCCTGGTCTCCAATGGGGGCGAGCGAGGGCACACTTTGATTGGCACCGGGCAGCTTGTGTTGGGCCGCATCCTTCCTGGCAAGTGGTCCGCCGTCAGCCCACCGTGGGGGTAGGCCTGTGAGCTGGGGAGGGACTGGCCAGCCCCCACCCACAGACCCTTTGGCACCGGCTCGGAGAGGTCTTTGTCCAAACTGCTTACCCCAGAATACGGGTGCACCGAAGTGCTCGCTTGGTCACAAGCGCTGGAGGAGAAGATCACGCTTCTCCGGTCCAACTCTCCTTCCTGTTTACAGAGAGTCTCCAACCCAGGCCCCTTGAGGGGGGAACCCATCGGGAAGCTGGCCGCGTCCTTCTGGCCCATGTGGGGCTGTCCATAATGCCCCGGGAAAGGGGCGTAGTCAGTTTTAAGGTCACCCTGAGTGATCCCCTTGTCGAAAGGGCATGCTGAACTCCTGGCAAAGTGCTGCTGAGATGTGCTGGGCAGACCAGACAACTCCACACTTTTTGTTATGCTGAACAGAGACCTTAAACAGGAGGGAGAGGCCACGCTCCGGGACCGCTCCAGGCAGGCGGCTCCGGCAGGTGGCGCGGGGCCGGGGCCGGGGCTGGGCTGCTTCCCGTCGGTTTCCAGGTCCCCAGCTCGGTCTCTGCTGTCTGGTTCGTCCCCGGACAGGCAGAGCGTGATGCTCTCTGCCTCGTTCTCTTCACTGGGAGGCTCACTTTTAATCTGCCCCATGGCAACTCCTGGCTTGAGGCTGTGGCCAGAGTTTTCTTCACCGAACGTGCTTGCAAAACCTGAGGTACTGTGTGACGATGCATTATAGACATTCTTGGTACATGCAAGCTGGTATTTCTTGTATCTGGGGTACTGCGTTAACGCGTCCTTTTCGGAGCTCTCCTTGGCGTCCGTCGGTCCGTCGGACTCGGGCAGCAAGGCTTCTTCCTTCTCTGTGACTGGGATGGCAGTGGCCTCAAAGCTGACGGGATCTGGCAGCATCTGGTCCCTGGGGCAGGGCACCTTGGCCGGCTCTGAGTCCATGGTCTCCTCCCCCTCCTCTTCCTCCTCCCCTGCGGAGTCCTCGCGGTCCTCGTGGGGGCGCTGGCACGCCGCGTCCTTCCGGCACACGAACAGGCCATCCTCGCTGTTCAGGAGCTGGGTCTGCAGGAAGCTGAAGCAGGAGTCCTCCAGGTTGTGCATGCGCAGGAACTCGGCACAGCGGATGACCTCGCGGATGTTTTCTCTGCTGAGTAACAGCTTGGCGGTGTAGGCAAACTGTAACAGCGGCCCAAAGCCCCTGGCTGTGACCTGCAAAACAAACAGGGCAATTGTCCACGTTACCGTCAGTACCGCTATTGTCCCGAATCCCTCAGCTGAAGCAAAATAACCCGGCAGGGGCTAACGTCCCAGAAAACAGACTGCAAAGGAGCAGTTAATTCGGCTCCCAACCATGTGTGCCTGTCTCGTGCATGCACTGCTCTACTTCACCCCCTGGCACATACAATTGAAGATCACCGGGGTCAAGCGGCTAAACAAGACGACAACAGGTTCCGTGTTTACACTAATGAAATATCCTGGCAAAAATGCACGCTAACACGGGAAGCCTATTAATTTCCCTCCCAATCAGTCCTGTTGAGAGCCCTTGTACAAAAGGAGCCCTGGGACGCTTCTTGCAGCAATCTTGAGCCAAAGAAAAGCATTCTCATTTTCTTGTCAACTGCAAACCTGGCAATATGGCCCCGTTAAAAAAACTCGCAAGTCCATAGGGTTTCAAAAATAGTATTTTTCTCACTCACCAAGTTAAAAAGAGACATGTAAAGTGACCCCTGTCTTTCTCATTCCTCATGGTTTCTGGATAGGGCTGTTCAGTCATCATGTCATATCCCATCTTGTGATGAAACCAGAGACGATGAAAATCCAAAGCCCTCCCTGTTCTCAACAAGAAATTAACTCGTGGTGCATAAAGAATGGGGGTTACAGAGCTAAACAAACTGGCTGTCATTTAGAGGAGCTGACGCTGCTGAGTGGCACTGGACGTGGGCTACTCCTTCCCTAATTATAAGCAGCAGCTTTTCCATGCAGCTGTCTTCTCTCCTGGTAAATCTTCAGGGGCTAAGCCTACTGTTATGTGCTGCTCATCCATTACATTTTATGCAGATTGAAAGTGTGCAATTTATGGCAGCTTGTGCGTACACAAGCACACACGGAATGACTTAGACAATCAGAAGTCCGTTGCCTAAGGCCAGTTGTTTTTTCAGATGGAAGTGCATTTAACTTTCCTGGTGTTCAGGACAGGCTTCCTTACCCTAAATGCAAAACCCTGTGTCGTCTCCATTCTCGCAAACACGGCTGACCCCATAGGAAGGTGAGGCTAGTCTATGAATCACGTGTAGAAATCAAATGAAAACAACAGTTACAGGGTTCTTGTTGGAAGCTCTAGTAGCAGTGATTTAAAAATATCTGGTAGACGAGTAAGTCCAGAGCAAGATGAACTGGCAAGCTTTGTAGCTGACTTCTCCACACATTAAATTCACCACAGCACACAGAGTCAAAACTCTTGTGAGGCCTTAAATCTGTTGTTCAAAATTCAACGCGGACATCAGCTCCGCTGGGAGCCCGCTCTAAACCTCTCAGAGAGGAAGAATGCCACGGTCCTCACAGCCCGCACAGAGTGAGGACATGTCCTGGATTCTCCAGGGCACCACTGATTTTATGCTGTTGCATTCTTTCCAGGAAGGGAAACTTCATAGATTCCTGAGTGGGATTTTAATCACTATTATTTTTGAAAGTACATAAAAAATATTCCGAATAAAAAATTCTGTTAGATAAGGAGTCCAAACATACTTAGTAAAAACAAACAAACAAACAACAAAAACTATGGTTACTAGACCAGCATTACAGTTCTACAAGGGCAATCTTATTATCAATAACTGGGTCTGATTCAACTGTAAGACTGTTTCATTTCTCCTTGTAACTCTGCACCTAACTACAGTGTCTAACATGGTAAACACCTGACAGAAGCCTGTATATTACTGAATATGTTTTAAGTATCACTGTGCCCCTAACATACAACAATAGTGTGCGGAGGGTGACCACACAGTCTGGTGAGTGTCGTCTCCAGTGACTTTAGGAGCAATGCATGTGTAAACCAACAAACCCAACCAATCAACCAATCAGAGGGAGGCAAGAGCCCTCGTTTGTCCTATCCCTTAGTACCGTATTGAAAAGGAGTTCATTTGACCTACACATAAAGTGACCCCTGTCTTTCTCATTCCTCATGGTTTCTGGATAGGGCTGTTCAGTCATCATGTCATATCCCATCTTGTGATGAAACCAGAGACGATGAAAATCCAAAGCCCTCCCTGTTCTCAACAAGAAATTAACTCGTGGTGCATAAAGAATGGGGGTTACAGAGCTAAACAAACTGGCTGTCATTTAGAGGAGCTGACGCTGCTGAGTGGCACTGGACGTGGGCTACTCCTTCCCTAATTATAAGCAGCAGCTTTTCCATGCAGCTGTCTTCTCTCCTGGTAAATCTTCAGGGGCTAAGCCTACTGTCATGTGCTGCTCATCCATTACATTTTATGCAGATTGAAAGTGTGCAATTTATGGCAGCTTGTGCGTACACAAGCACACACGGAATGACTTAGACAATCAGAAGTCCGTTGCCTAAGGCCAGTTGTTTTTTCAGATGGAAGTGCATTTAACTTTCCTGGTGTTCAGGACAGGCTTCCTTACCCTAAATGCAAAACCCTGTGTCGTCTCCATTCTCGCAAACACGGCTGACCCCATAGGAAGGTGAGGCTAGTCTATGAATCACGTGTAGAAATCAAATGAAAACAACAGTTACAGGGTTCTTGTTGGAAGCTCTAGTAGCAGTGATTTAAAAATATCTGGTAGACGAGTAAGTCCAGAGCAAGATGAACTGGCAAGCTTTGTAGCTGACTTCTCCACACATTAAATTCACCACAGCACACAGAGTCAAAACTCTTGTGAGGCCTTAAATCTGTTGTTCAAAATTCAACGCGGACATCAGCTCCGCTGGGAGCCCGCTCTAAACTTCTCAGAGAGGAAGAATGCCACGGTCCTCACAGCCCGCACAGAGTGAGGACATGTCCTGGATTCTCCAGGGCACCACTGATTTTATGCTGTTGCATTCTTTCCAGGAAGGGAAACTTCATAGATTCCTGAGTGGGATTTTAATCACTATTATTTTTGAAAGTACATAAAAAATATTCCGAATAAAAAATTCTGTTAGATAAGGAGTCCAAACATACTTAGTAAAAACAAACAAACAAACAACAAAAACTATGGTTACTAGACCAGCATTACAGTTCTACAAGGGCAATCTTATTATCAATAACTGGGTCTGATTCAACTGTAAGACTGTTTCATTTCTCCTTGTAACTCTGCACCTAACTACAGTGTCTAACATGGTAAACACCTGACAGAAGCCTGTATATTACTGAATATGTTTTAAGTATCACTGTGCCCCTAACATACAACAATAGTGTGCGGAGGGTGACCACACAGTCTGGTGAGTGTCGTCTCCAGTGACTTTAGGAGCAATGCATGTGTAAACCAACAAACCCAACCAATCAACCAATCAGAGGGAGGCAAGAGCCCTCGTTTGTCCTATCCCTTAGTACCGTATTGAAAAGGAGTTCATTTGACCTACACCTTTGTGCCCTATTAAGCTGACATGGTAAGAGATTCAGCCAGTGTAAGGCAAGGAAGCCCATACTTATAAGTAACTAAAGAAGGGGATGAGAATGTCACCTAACCTAATTCTTCCCTGTAACATGGCTCCACCACAAAGACAGAAATGGCAGAATCAGGCAGAGCTAAGCCCTCCGTAAGGAAGCATCTTCCACTGTGCTCCTCGGCAATCTGCCAGTTGCTGAGTGGGTAATACACATCTCAAGTTTTGGCAGATGTGCTTTCTCTATGGGAAATGGGGGAAACTCACGTCAGTGTTATTTATATTTTTTATACAGTCCTTCTCACGCTCTTATCCTTACAGTCATTTTTTTATTTTGATACTGCTGTTCTCCGTAAGCTCCACCGCTGTCTCCCTCTATGACTGTTTTTAAAGAAAATCCCTAAAGAAATCAGGAACACCCATGGGTATCATTAGATCAGCCCTGGTCATACCACTTGCCACATAGCGGCAAACTGCTGGAGAAAGTTTGTCCACTCAGAGACGAGCTGATGCTGAAATGCATGAGCAGGACTGAGGCTGCCAATGAGCAGTCTATACCCCAAATCACGTCACTGAACCTTTTCCGTTTGAGAGGCATAATGAGCTTGAAATGATCATCAAGTGGTCATAAAAGAGTCACGAATAAGAACAGGGTTGTAAACTGTCATTCAAGCCCACGGTCAGGGGAATGGTGTTCTCGCCATGAAATTTCAAGTCCATAACTAGCTTCTCCCTCACATGAGTTTAAATCCTGCTTTGTCATTTTCGATTCTGCTAAATTTTGCTCATTCTCTGTGGGGTCTAGTGAGTTAGTTCCCATTCACCGAGCACCTCCTAGAGCCCAGCACCATGCCGGCTGGCTCTTACAACGCCCTGCAAAGCAGGCATGATTGCCTCTATTTTGTAGACAAGGAAGCTGAGAAGCAGGGAGATGAAGGAATTCATCTGAGAACACAGAGCTGGAGTCTGCCCCAAGTGCTGGAAGGAATGGAGAAGTACAAGACTCAGCCCTGTGCTTATGAAACCTACAAGCTACAAAGAGTTAATTATTAATAACAGTGTGAAGTTAGTAACTCTAAGTCAGCTATGGGTGGGCTTTCACAAGATGACATGATAAGCTGTCACCTGAGAAATCCCAGGCGGATCAGGAGAGGAGAGGAGGTGACTGCTGAGGTCTGTGGGGATCTCTCCAGCACTGGTGAGCAGGCACCGGGAGTGCAGGGAATTCCCCGATTGTGTCCGCTCTGGGTCAAGGGTTGTTCGGATCCAGTGGGTACCTTCTGAACTGCCACAGGGTCCCTTCCAGGCACCCATCTACGGTCCACCTAAGGCGGATTTGAACAGCTCCAAATAAAACAGAAAGCAAGTGCCCATCTCACATGCGGGCAGAGGCTTTTTAAATCTTGGTTTGGCCTCCATGTGGAGTAGCTGGCACTGTCTCCCCTCATTTAAATTCACCCATTGCACTCAGAAAGCAAATATCCAGGTACCAACGTGAAACTGTGCATGTATGAAACTGTGACCACAAGTCTGCATTGTTACTTACTTTCTGTTTTTAACAAGTAAGGCTTTGATAATGGGAAAAAATAAGGGGGTGGGAAGCAGA